CAAATTACAAATCTCTCTCCTTTGCATCATCGGAGATCTAAGAGGAAGAAATCGTCATCACCACCGGAGAAGAATCGAAAACCAACGCGCAACCATCAGCTTATGAGGTTTACAACCTAGCTCTTGAGAATCACAGAAGAAATTAATTTAAAAAAAAAAAAAAAAAGGAGAGAGGTTGAAGAATCGAACTCAGCACATGAGGTTTACAAAACCAACGCTCAACCACCAGGCTACATTAACATTCTCATAAAGTATTGCAAACAGAAGGTATATATTTATATAAACACGTGGGGTTAAAATTTAACGCTGTTAAATAATTCCGTTACGCCCAGTAACGACTGTTAAGTCTCGGGTTCGAAATTACCAAGTTTAAAAAAACGATAGTTTTAAAAGACAATCGAAATTAAAAGAGGTATTTTTATTCCAAATTTAAAAACACAGGTATTAAACGTCCAAAAAAAATAGATGGCAGTTTTTTCGGGTTTTTTTCCAATATATAAATAGAGTTACAATTCATTAATAAATGAATAAAATCACCATTGAAGAATTCATTAAAAAGTAGAAAAACAACGGATACATGATACTAACAGTTACTCATTAGAACTAGGCGTAACCCGTATTCGATCGGCGGCGACACAGCAATTCCATAACCAAAGTAAGATGAATACGGTCACAAAAATACCGAATATTCCAACACAATATATTATACCCACATGATACATATTGTTTCTCTACCTCACCAAAACTTGTTTCTTCTTAACTTCTTTTCGTGTCTTCTTAACAAAGCTACTAGACAAAAGGTTACTTTGCAAAAAGTTAGTTTGTATATTCATCTCATAAGAGGAGTATGTATATAAGTCCTAATTGCCTTATCTCTACAACTTGGGAATCAAAATTAACATATCATAGAACGAAAAATCAAAAACGAAAAAGAAAAGTTAACATAACACAAAAAGATGCATATATACGGTTCTTTAATGTGCTAGGCACCGCCAATCAATTATTTACTATATACTAGCCTCAAATCTACTAAATATGAATACTTCCCGTAGGTAAGTCGAAATAGGGTTTTTACTGTCTACTTTCCTAATTTAAACGTCAAAAGAAATGGTCGTTTTCCAATTTTTACCAATTCTTCTTGTATTAAATCAAAAAGGAATATAGCAGCAGGTGTGTACCAAATAAATCCGTGTTCTTTCTCTTGTACAACCGAGACTCTTTTTTTTTTACTGTAGTTGAATTAATCTAAAAACTAATAAATTTGTATCTTTCATAAATTATTTAGAATTATCAAACTTGAAACTGAATGACTAAATAAATAATTAAATAAGTAATTAGAAAATGAAAAAGAAACAAAAGGATTCCAAAAGAGATTCATCGAATGATATGATGATTAGTAAGAGAGACTCCTAAAACAGAGAAGAGGAGAGACAAAAAAAGATAAGTGAAATCGCCTTTGGAGAAAAAAAAATCACAAAGGTCAAAAAATAAATAATGAATTCTACTATAACTCCTGATACATTTTATGTGACTTTGATCTGGCACTTGGGTGAAACCGAAGTGTCAAGAAGCATCATTAACTCCTTTTTGGTTTTCAGTATAATTATGTCATTATCCACCACAGCTTCTTTAACATTCACTAGGCATTCCGTTTTCCCAAGAAAACTCCTCAAGTGTTTCAATTCTTGACTAGTTCCTCCATAACCAAGTATATGCAACACCTTCAAATGGTTGAGAGGCATGAAGACATCCCCTGTGTAACCATTCAAACCCTGAAGAAGTATCAATCAAGAAGATGTATGCAAAGGATCAACCACTAAGTTAATATATCTATTCATGGCTTTTGCTTAACATACCTGGATGATTAGAGTTTCAAGCTTTGGAGATAGCTCAAGCAGTTTTGGCAGCAGTTTCCAACCTCGTCCTTGTTTAGTGCTCTTACTCCCAAACGATAAATTAACAAGATTGTTGAACACGGGTAGAAGTAGTCCATGTATAATACATCGACAAATCACCAAACATACACACTTATACGCACTTGAAGAATGTCCAAGCTGATCTTCAAAAGTTTTAAAGAAAGAAAGAAAATAGGAAAACTTACATCAACAGAATCAGGAGAAAGATGCAAGGTCTTGACGTTGCTTATCCCAATAATGAGACCCGATATATATCAGGCCTCGTGCTCTTTTTAGGATAACGTATATCCAGCCTAGCTTCAACTAGGGCCTCCAAGTTAATTGGTGTATACTCATTCAAGGCGTAGTCGAAGTAGTCCAGGAAGACAAGACTTGGAGTGTCAAATGACAGACCACTCATAAAATCAATTTCAGACTCAGCGTCATAGTGAACTGATAGTTTCTTGATGCTATGATTCGATATGCAGAATGGGGTTCCTATATAGTCCTCGTGACGTACAGATAACTCCTCGAGCACTGGACAACTAGTAAGAAGCAGACGACACATATCATATTCAAAAAATATTGAATTGATGAAGAGAATCTTAAGCGCTGGAAGACACATATCTGGAGGAAGCACTTCAACTCCAATAAAAATTTGTGTTCCAAGTGTCAGTTTAACCAATGTCTTGCTCGTGAAGAGCTGACAAGGCAGAGAGATTTCAATCTCAGTCTTGAAACTTAGGTCCACTTCCAAAACACCACGTTCAACAACATCGTAAATCCAGCTACCTACATAAGCCATCTCGCTGTCATCTCCAATGTGACGTTTTAGAACGAACTTCTTTATGGGAGAATCACATTGTGTTCGATCCAAAAAGTTTCTGAAGCTCTCACCCCTCTCTCGTTTATCGTTATGGGGGAGCAGCAAAACAGAGCCATCAAAATCGAAACTATCCACCAAACACATTTCGCCACTTTTTGGAAAGAAGAGATGTTGAAGCAGCTGGTTTCATAGGAAGTAAGGACAAGATGTTGCAAAGAACCTCGTCAGGGAGCCAGCTGATTGCATCTCTAGAGCCAGTGTCCAACTTTTTGGTATCCATAGAGAAAAAAGTGCCTGAAAGACCAACAAGCATATATTTGTAAACTACAACCTTGTAATCCAAGCAACCGTGGTTTTTCTACAACCTAGTGGAAGCTCAAATTGTCCTGGATGCTAAAGAAGTCGCACTTTCAGTTTGATCAACCAGAGTATATAAAAGATGAAAGAAGATGTTTTCTCACAAACAATAAGATATAATTTCCACAATTATAAAGAGCATGTGATTGAGAAGCGTGTAGAAAACAAAGAGGTTAAAACGAAGTATGCCAAAAAAACATATGAACTTGAGGCTAAAGAGAAGTTAGATACAAACCGTGACGGTGGAGGACGGCGCGCGGAAGAGAGACGGAGATTGTCGTGTTCGATTCTCAATACCCGAAATAAGTAAATCCGAAATTATATAATTCAGAATAGCTAATCCTTTTGCCCTTATTTAAAACGACAGAAGAAATGATCGTTTACCTTTATAACATTGTCGTTTGGAAATTTCACTTAGCTTCCTTTTTTTTAACTATAATTTTTTAGTTTCCTAATTATCTGATAAGTTGATGTTAGGGTTTCAAAACTTACTTCAGCAGAATCGAATATATCCGGCCTCTCTATCTTTTTTAGAATGACGAAGATCCAGCCTAGCTTAGACTAGGGACATCAAATTAAAGGTGTGTACTCAGATAATTAAGACTTATCGACACACAATTGGTTTGTAATAAAGCTTATTTCTTTCATTATATTTAATTAGAAAAGATCGTCTTGGTAAAAGAAACATTGGTTTATACTTTATAGCCTTGAAATAAATAAATAAAAATATTTATAAAAAAAGGAAGTAGGAGCCTAAAAAAATTATTCATCTAACATATGAAGTTAATTATGATGAGCCTATGCGTCTGTGTATTTTTTTATAAGCCCTAATTTTCATAGTCGGTCGGATCAAAAATATGTGCCTTTAAGAATCTTTGCTTGTTTTTTCAATTCTCGGCTTTACTACTTTTGCGTATGAGATGTATGACGCACTGATATATATTTGAAAAATATATTACACATTTACACCTTGTGACAAAATTATACCACAACGTATAACAAAAAAGAATATTACAACTGAATAAAGAAATTAAAAGTCGGAGATTCAAAGTATGACGAAATTAATAAAATATCATTGTGTCCCTATATGGATATTCACCAAAAATGGTCAGTATTCAGTAAAGTCTGGTTACCATCAACTTACAAAAGCTAATGCAGCAAGTACTTCTGGTTCTATCCAAGCTAGCTAATACATTATGCAAGTCTATTTGGTCATTAAACACTTCCCCAAAGTTAAAGAACTTTTGGTGGCGTGTCTTACATGATGCCATTCCTGTTGCAGCAAATGTTGCTCGTAGAAACATCAAGATCTCAACAGATTGCATTTTCTGTGGTGAGGCCAAGGAAACTATTTTACACTTGCTGTTTCATTGCCGGATAGCTAGAGAGATTTGGGAATTGGGAGTTATCACCCCTTGGGACTCAAGCAGGTCAGTATGATAAAATTAATTCTTTATATGACATCTTACAATTTGTTTGAGTTGTCAATTTTCCTAAGCTTTTGAGTTTCTAATTATTACGACATTCGAATGCACACAGGGATGGTTGCTGCACTGTACCTCTAGGACACACTCGCTAATGAAAAGACATACAACAAGCAACTAATCCAGTAGCCTTTCTAAAGATAGGAAGATACCATACTTTCAGTCGTATAGCTTTTAAAGACCTTTTAGACGTGAAAAGAGTTTGGATATTATAACCTCTCTTTATCCCTCCATTTTCTCAGCTATTGTTTTGAATGTGGAACAACTGATATATAGTACTATTACGCGTAAGAGACAATGATGTCTACAATATTAGCAGCATCAATGCCTACCAAGATTTAGCAGTGTCATTTGATGAACTTGTAAGTTTAGCACAGACGGACAAATTGTAGATGTAAGCAACCACACCAAGAAGATTAGGTCGAAAAATTACTTATCTAGTTATATGTTGAGAATATAGAAACTTTATAAATATATACTATAAAGTGTGACAAAAGATTAAAAAAACTAGTCGACTTTACATGAGTTTAATAAAGTTACATAGTATAATATGAATAAACTAGATGACTTGTGCGACTTTGGAATGGCAATTTGCTTTTAGTGAAACTCCAAGAAGCATCGTTATATCCTCTTTTCGTTTGCAATCTTATGCCATCATCCACCACAGCTTCTGCATTACGTTTTTTCCCAAGAAAACTCTTCAACTGTTCAAACTCTTCATCAGTTCCTCCATAATCCAGAATATGCAACTTCACTTGGTTCCGACGCATGGAGACATCGCTTCTGTAACCCTTCAGATCCTGAAGAAACATCAATCAAGAAGATGTATGTAAATGATCAACCACTAAGTTGTTCATGTATATGTAATTGTTCATAGGTTTTGCTTACTGAGTATACCTGGATGTTTAGAGTTTCAAGCTTTGGACACTGCTTAAGCATCTTTGCCAGCAATTTCCAACCTCGTTTATTCTTAATCCCAAGAGATAAATTAATCAGATTGTTAAATACCGGTAGAAGTAGCCCATATTTACAGCATGAATAGATCACCTGAAACACACAATCAATCACAGTTGAAGAATGTCCAAGAGTTTTTAAACGACAGAAAGAAATTGCCTAACTTTACCTCAACCGAAGCGGAAGATAGATGAAGGATCTCAACATTTCTTATCCCCATAATGAGATTCGTTACATCCGGCCTCTCGACATGTTCAGCCGGATAAAGTTCCAGCTTAGCTTCAACAAGGGAATCTAAGTTAACTTGTGGATACTCATACAAGGCGAAATCAGAGTAGTGAAGGTACTCCAGATTTGGCAGGTCAAATGACAGTTCGTCCTCACGATGAAGGTCGTAGTCAACTGATAGTCTCTTAACCGTCGGACTCGATATGGTGTGAGGGATTGCATTGTTTTTGTGATGGACTGATAACTCCTCGAGCACCGGGCAACCAGCAAGAAGCACATAACAGAAATCTTCATATTCAAAGAAAACTGTATCGATGAAGAGAAACTTAAGAGATGGAAGTAACACATCTGAAGGAAGCTTTCCAAGGTTGAGCGCTGTCCCTAGTGTCAGCTTAACCAGCGTTTTGCTTGCGAAGAGCTGAGGAGGCATAAAGTGTAGACCCCAATCTATTATCTGTAGGTCCAATTCAACAACACCACGTCCTACAACATTAGATATCCAGCGTCCCACACAAGCCCTTTGACAGTCACTGTGCGCACCAATGTGGCATTTTAGTGAGAATTTCTTGATTGAATAATCACATTGCAAAGCCAGTGTTCGATCCACACAGTTTTTGAAGCTCTCTGGAAATACATGTTCACCCTCTTCCGCATGCAGATGGAGGGAATCATCAAAATCAAGACAATCCGCCAATCTATACATAAAAGTCCACTTTTTCGAGAGAAGAGATGTTGATACAGCCTGTTTTGTCGGCAGAAACGACAAGATTTTGCCCAAAACTTCGTCTGGGAGACAGCTGATTGTAACTCCCGAACAGGGCTTTTCAAAGTTTGTGGCAGCCATAGAGATTAACAGCTAGTGCCTGAAAACATGAAGTGTGTCAAACAATGCACCTACCATAAAAAGCTATGATATTTCTATGACTTAGCAGAATCTCAAAATTTGCGTCAATGAAGATCGAAAGTACATGAATTTCGGCAACCAAGTACAAGATGAAGCGGAATTGAAATTGTTTCAGGAAACAAAAAAATGGTCAGAGACGGCGAAGAAACTAAAGGTTCAAGCTTTTTCATTTTTTGGATTGGATTAAAGGTTTGTGCTTTTACGCTAGAATAATTCAACCGCTGGATAACCCAGAATGCTACAAACACAAAATTGAATGGATGCTAGAGAGAGAGAGAGAGAGAGAGAGAGAGAGAGAGAGAGAGAGAGGGAACAAATATATAGATTTGAGCAAGCACACCACATGAACACGAAAAGCGGAATTAAGGATATTTCAGAGAGAGATTATATAAAATAAAAAAAGACAGAACATTCAAAGACCAATACGAACCCGGGCGTGATGGTGGCGAAGGGCAAAAACAGATGCAGAGACTGATGGTCGTTCGGGGATATAGATCGGAGTCGCCGATTCAGAACTAAGTGGTTTTTGGGGCTATCTGTACCGTCAATTAGAGAAAATAAATAATACAGATAATTTCCTTTGTCGATGTAAAAAAAAAATACAGTTTCTTTTTTATTTAAGACAATGGATAGTTTTTAGGAAAATTTGCACCTCTAACATACAAAATAATAATTAAAAAAAAAAAAACAGGTAAGTAACAAAAAAGGGAAGGAAAAATCTAAAATATATATATATATATATATATTTTAAACATTTGTAATCGTCTGTTAACTATACATTAAAACTAGGGAATTTTGCCAAATATGCCACATTTTGGGAAAATCTTAGCAAATATACCACATTTGAAATGGATTTAGCATTCATACCACATTTGGTGTTTGTGTGGCAATTCTTGGACAATTTTGCCCTTCTCTGTGCGTCAGGTATGTGTCAGGGGAAAGAGCTACAGTATACGCCGGTTGGGAAACGGGGACAACTTTGTGTCAGAGAAGGACAACTTTGTCTGAAAGACAACTTTGTGTCAGAGAAGAATGACAAAACATTGCATTAAATGCAGTTTACATTTACTATGGACAATAATTATGAAATAGAGTGAATGATGTCCCCTAAGGATAAGTCCAGATCTCTTGATTGTCCATTGCCAGATGATGTGGTTTTACCAGCCAGAGATCTGGATTTACTCGGGAACAACTTCTCTTGATTGTCCATCGCCAGATGATGTGGTTTTACCAGTCAGAGATCTGAATTTACTCGGAGACAACTTGATCTTTATTTTATTCTGCCAGAGAGCCGAAGACGAAGATCTGGATTTACTCGGGGACAACTTTGTTTTACCGGCCAGAGGGAAAAAAAAAGGTTCAATAATCCGGGTAAGTGAGGACAATATTGTTCGACTAATCTGTGGACCAAAATAGATGCCGAGAAATCTAAATAAAATTCAAAACCCTTAAACGAGAACAATTGGTAGACAAAATGTGGAATTCATGATAATAAAACAAAATGATGAATCGGGGACAAGATCTAAACGCAACAGAGAATTCTCATTCGGGGACAAGATCTGGACAACAGTAGAGAATGTTTATATGAAAAAAAGTTTTGTCGTGAATGAGAGAAAGAACTAGACAAAGAGAGAGATAAAGTGAAAGTGAAAGAAATAAATAAAGAAAATAAAAATGTAACAACAAATAAAGAAAGAGAAAATTGTAGTTACCAATGTAGAGAAATAAAAGAAGGCGGAAAAGTCAGAAGGGCACATTAACTACAGGTTTTGGTCTCTCATGTTGGAGGGTAAAATGGTCTTTACCAACAGCAATTGTGGTATAAGAGAAAAATGAGATATATACATTTTTGGATGACTTTAGCAAATAAATCCTTGAGTTAGAATGTATTTACGGATGAATGCCATTGGCATTAATTATTTAAATTTGAAAATATTAATTAAAGATATTACCAACACGATTTCGAGAATCATAAATTCATATCTTCCTTAATTTTCTGAGTCATTAATGTGATAATCTTTAGGAAATATTTCTCTGTAAAAAAAAAAAAATCCACATTAATGAAGGCATTAAAATCGACACTAACAATTAAATTATTTAGATATTCAATTATTTTAAGATTCTTATATCTTATTTGATATATTTTTTTAATATCTCATTCTTTAATTACTGCGTTTAGAATTTATTGGTTGTTACCTATTTTTTGGTGAAATTTATTGGTTGTTACTTAATAAGTAATTATGGTGCGTTTATTTTAGTTAATATCTAATTTAAAGGATTTGTTTTCTTTTATTATTAATAAACGAATAACATGTATAGAAATAAAAGATTTTTCTTGCGACTCCATAATAAAAATATTAAACTCTTATTTTCTACATTTCTTACACATAATATCCTCTTATTCAATAACAAAAAATATATATTGCATATTTTTAAAAATATTTATAATATTTAAATTATATAAAAAGTTTGTAATATTAATATTATTTCAACTCTATACAAATTTAATATATATGTATATATATCTTATGGGAACCATTTAAAAGAAATTTTTAAATTGACTTGAATTATATAGCTTTTAAATAAAAGTATTATTAAAAAGAAAAATAACTAAATGATGTTTAATTTCACGGGACGGGTAATATGATGGGACGGATTTGGGTTGATATTTATAAAAGATAGTAGGGAGACTCACAAAAATGCCCCTTTTTCAATACCCCTTTTCAAAAATGCCCCATTTGGCTGTCCATTTTTAAAAATACCCCTTTTTATGTACAAAATGACTAAATTACCCTTCTTCTAATAAAAGATATCATAAATATATAAGGAAATATAACAAAATTAGGTCCACAAAATACAAAATATTTTTTGGCGGGAAAAGTGATCCCTCAATTTTTCCCGCCAAAACACTTGTAAAAAACCTTTAAAATACCTTGTAAAATTTTCCCGTAAAATTTTTTCCCGCCAAAAATTTTTTTTTGCGGGAAAAGTGATTCCGTAATTTTTTTGGCGTTAAATTTTTGGCGGGGAAAAATTTACAAGGTATTTTAAAGGGTTTTTACAAGGGATTTATAAGGTGTTACAATGTATATTTAAAAGGTTTAAC